TAAGCCTCACTCGGAATTGCAGCAAATATTTGCCGATTTGAGTTCACCCTCACAGCAGTCGAGTCTTTCAACCAGTGGTACACCGATTGGGAGTCCATTGAAGGCCGACGAGACACATAAATGCAATATTAATCCTTTGAAAGGGTTGTCCGCTATTAATGAGTGCACCGATTGCTACGACTCTGCGCCCAAACCGCGAAACTTTCCCATCGATGCCATCAATAACAGCAACGATACTAATCACTCGTCGTCCGACATTATATACCCCAACCAGTGCTCTGTTATCACCGACACCTCCATCGAGACCATCAAAAACAGTTGCATCGAGAGCTTTGGCTGTTTTTCGACCAAAACTACTAACAATAATAGCGTTCATAATAATCATAATGAAGAGAGTGATCAAAAAGAGGTCGCAAAACTTCAGAAGATATCAAACACTGTGTACCAGAAGGTGATTGAACTGGAGTTCGCGACCATACCTTTCAAGGAGATGGCGGCTGCGGACATGAACCGCTTCGAGAGCATAAGGATCGCCGAGTTGGCCGCCGCTGTGGCCGACCTGAACCGGCGCTCGTACGGCATGAGCAACGAGGGTCTGAAGATCACCCGCGAGCTGTCCAACTTCATCGACATGACCAAAGTGTTAGCCGTCAAGTGTGACGACGCCATCCGGCGACTCGTCGTTATGTCCAAAAAGATCGCCTCATTCAAGGAGTTGTGTCAACCCGACCAGATCGGGCTCATGAAGGCCGGCTGCTTCGAGATACTCATCATGCGATCCATTAACACCTATAACCAGGAGCACGACTACTGGTCGGTCGCCATGGTTTGTCATCTATTTTGTTTTATATAAGACGTGTGCTTGCTAATATTTGCAAAAATTACTAATACTAATTAATGCCTAATACTAGGACCAGAATAACGCGACGATGGTTAAGGTGGAGCTGTTTAAGCAAACCAAAGGCAATCTATACGAAGCCCACAAGAATTGGATGCACGCCTTCGCCGAGGAGTGGGATTCCGACCAAACGATCCTTAATTTGGTATTTAATTTCAATTTTACATATTAAAACAAATTTATTTTCTCACTTTTGTTCATGTCTTTCATTTAGTAAACTATATTATGAGTCTATTTTAGTAACAAAATTATGTTTGTATTTATGTCTATTAGTTGACGGCTATTGTACTGTTCACACCGGAGCGACCAAACATAATGCACAGGGAGTTAATCAAGTAAACATTTGTTGTAACTTATATGTCTTGATTAATATGATTTAA